TTTAGAGCCTTTGACTGCCAACCAGTAATCAGATTAGTCACAAACTCTGCTTTAAATGTATCCAACGCTGGACGTTTTACCTTCAGAGATTTAAAAGGAGACGCCTTCAGCTGCTGTGATTGGTCAGGATCCATAAAACGTTAACGTCGCTGCGAGATTCATCAGGCTAATCAGCTCACCACGAGTCACTCTGCTGACCTTTTGACCTCCAGTCTAGCAACTGCTCTCATCCAATCAAACGTTGTTAAACTCGTGACTGATAAACTGAGTTTCCTGTTTGGAGTTTTTGTTGTTTAACTGTCAGGATGCATCGTTTAGACTTCCTGTTTCAGCCTCGTGTGCCATGTTTGTTTGTTTGTTTTCTCTTTTAAAACGTACACCTTTTTATTTGGCTTTTCTTTGACAAAACAAGCTTTTTAAACTTTACGTAGTGGTTGTATTAAAACGTCTATATTAAATTCATCACTCTGATGTAAAACGTTGGCGTTTACGTGTCCGTGTCTCCATTTTTCCTCCTCAGATTGAACGCATCGTTCCCTTGTAGGTTCTGGCAGCTGTGACGTCACTTCCAGGCGTTAGTCTGTACCCAGCCTGAATGCAGCCTCTCCAGGGTCCAGCCTAATTCCTGGTGCTCCTTCACTCCCGCCTCCTCCCTCCTCTCCCCACCCTTTCCCCCTTCCTGCCCCACCCCTCCTTTCCTCCATCCTCATCCTCCACCCTCCACGTCAGCCTCGTCTCAACACCAACTCCCAGCGTTTAGCCCGGACTGCTGGTGTGGTTGGCTGCTCCTCTACAGGTGGATGAATGAAGACCCCCTTCAAGAGCCCAACGGCGCCGCGGCCCCGAGCGGACGGAGGTGAGTTACACGAGCGAGGCGCTCCACCCATGTGCGTGACACGCTGCCGACTGGTCATCAGACTGATGTGTTTGTGTGTTTCAGGACATTCGGGCGTCTCTGCAAACATGATGAAGAAAAAGAATCCGCACAAGTAAGTAAAACAGTTTGTTTTTCATTTGTACAATAAAGTTTTTAATTAAAAGACACAACAAATAAATGAAACGTCACCAGCTCGCACCGGTGTCACACCATCTTCATCGTGTCTCCTCCCTGCAGGAAGCAGAGGACCAGCGTGGGTCCCAGTAAGACCCTGACTCAGCCCAGAAGGAACATCGTGGGCTGCAGGATCCAGCACATCTGGAAGGAGGGCAGTAAGTCGGCTCCATGTGATTCTCCTCCGTCTCATTTTCCTTTCGATGCTTCATGTTTGATCAGTTTGGCGAGTTAAACATTAACGTGTCCCTCAGTGGATCAAACGATGGTTTATAGAAATGCAGAAAGTTAAGCATCGTGTGAGAAAGAGTCACCTGTGCTGCTGTTTACGTGTCTGCTTCCTCTCAGGTAAGTCGTCGCAGTGGAAGGGGACGGTCCTGGACCAGGTGCCCGTCAACCCCTCCCTCTACCTGATCAAATACGACGGCTTCGACTGCATCTACGGCCTGGAGCTGTACACCGACGAGCGGGTGGTGGGGCTGGAGGTTCTGCCCGACAGAGTGGGTGAGGAGCCGCC